TTTGTTTGTGGGGGAAGGATTAGTGGTGACTGTGAAGGAGCTATGGAGCGGGGTCTCTGAGACTCTGGGCTCAAGCAGTTTCTCTTTGGGACATAGGAGATCCAGTGATGCTTGGAGTTGAGACTAGAGCATTACCCAATTTCTGCAGGGAATCCCTCCAGCCCCTCCTGTACTGGTATCTTAGGGAATGATATCCTAGGCACAGACTCTGGTGTCTTTCTGAGCCAGGACATGGCCAAGAGAGACATGGAGTAGAAGAGGTTTGTGCATAATCAGTGTGTGTGGTATGTGGATTAATGATAAAGAGTGATGGTTCTGGCTTCAGATTGCCTAGACTAGTTGTCTACCATGGCTCATTTCTTAATTCCTTTATGCCTTAGTTTCCCCATATGTAAAAAAGAAATAATAATAATACCTCCTACGGTCAATCTAAGCAATCTGAGGTAGAGAATTAGATAGGGCCTGGCACATCATCAGCATTCAAGAGATAGGAGCTGCTTTAAAAGTAATTATTAAAGATTAGACTCGATGAGTGGTTCAAAATTTAGAGTGTGTGTTTAAATCACTTGGCATAAAAAAAATCGGTCCGGGCTCCAGCTATAGAGAACCTGATAGAGCACATCTTGCATTGAGCCCCAGCATTTGTATTTTTTAACAAAGAGCCTTCCCAGATAAGTCTACTAGAAACCAGGAGTGAGGGGGGCTTGGGTGGCTGAGTTAGTTAAGAGACTGACTCTTGGTTTCAGCTTGGTGAGATGCAGGGTCATGAGACTGAGCCCCATGCTGGGCTCTGTGCTTGGCCTGGAGTCTGCTGGGGACTTTCTCTCCCTCTTGCTCTGCCCCTCCCACCTGCTCTCCTTCCCTCCCCCCCTCTCTTTTTCTCAAATAAATAAATAAATAAATAAATCTTAAAAAAAAAAAAAAGAATCAGTGGGTGAGGACAATTCAGTTAGTAGAACAAGTTCCCACCTTATTTCTGAGATCTGTGATTTCAAAGGTGAGTGTGGGCTGTTTAGAGAAAAAACTCTGTAGATCGTTCAGGCTCAACAAATGTTATATTACCTTAGAGGGTACAAAAATTGGTTCTTGCAGGAGGGAATGTTGAAAACTCTCAGTTTTTAAAATGCATAGATATAAATATAACACATTAAGAGATACACAGTATATCTGTGACATTAAAATTTCATTGGGGGGCAATTAGGAAAAATTGTCTGAAAAGGCTCCTTTGGGGAATGATAATGAAAGAAATACTGAGAAACACTGCTAGAAAGGATTGTGATCTTACGATTAAAGCAAAAATGCACATTTCCCACCTCCCTTTCTGCTTGACCAACTCATGCTGATGCTGCTCTTTTTTTCCCTAAAATTTATTCATTTTTTTTTTTAAGATTTTATTTATTTGAGATAGAGTCAGAGCAAGAGACAGAGCAAGAGCATGAGCACACATGGGGAGGGGGCGCTGGGAGAGAGAGAGAGAGGCTGATGCTGTCCTTAAGTTTTGAGTAGGAAAAACAGGGTTAACTGACCATCCGGGGATGCAAGAAAAGGAACCTTTAAGGAATTTGAAGATATCTGTGACCTAAGATTTCAAGTAGACCTTTTGGGCACTTGGGTGGGTTAAAGCCTCTGCCTTCAGCTCAGGTCATGTTCCCAGGGGTCCTGGGATGGAGCCCAGCATCAGGCTCTCTGCTCAGCAGGGAGCCTGCTTCCTCCTCTCTATCTACCTCCTACTTGTGATCTCTGTCTGTCAAATAAATAAATAATATCTTTAAAAAAAAGTAAAGTAGACCTTTCATATTTGAGAGTTGTTTGTGTTTTGTTTGTTTTTTAAGCCTGATAATTTTTTTTAGTCTTTTTGCCCAGCTTGGCTGCTGTCTCTGTGATCTAGACATTGCAGGCAAAGAAATCACAAAACCAGAGTAAATAGCATTTCCTCTGGGACCGTATTAGAGTTTGCAGAAGTAAGCTGTGGAGAGACGGCATAAATGATGTAGGAAATACTCATTAATCAAGATTCGATTGCCTATTTCTCAAACAGCTTAGTGACAGTATAGTCGGAATTTTCTATTTCTGCCAAAGTCTCTCTCACTAAGCATCTTGAATGAGACTTTATAGGCTTCTCTCCCATAGATTTATTGCTTTTCCTGAAAGACCATCTACTGTTTTAAATGCTGGGCAGAGGGAACTTGGGGTGTGAAACAGGTGTGTCTGTTTGTCAAGGATCCTGTCAAAGACAAAAAATTGAATGCAGATGTGCTCTTCTCTAGAAACAATTTGCATAAGATGATGCTTCATGTCCACATGTGAACTTTACATTTTCACATTGTATATATTTGTTTTAGAAACAATAGTGCCATCTCTCTCTTCCCACTCCTACAATAAATACATACACAGGCAGACACATCACCTTTAACTGAAGCAAGAAGCAAATAATGACTGGAAAAATGCTTGAAACTTAGGTGAGAGGAAGCAGTTCTTCTTCTTCTTCTTTTTTTTTTTTTTAAAGATTTTATTTATTTATTTGAGAGAGAGGGAGAGAGCATGAGAGGGGAGAGGGTCAGAGGGAGAGGCAGACTCCCCATGGAGCTGGGAGCCCAATGTGGGACTCGATCCTGGGACTCAGGGATCATGACCTGAGCTAAAGGCAGTCGCTTAACCAACTGAGCCACCCGGGTGCCCCTGCTATTCTTAATATTAAGAAAAATTATTATAAACATTAGCATATGCTCATAAGTCACAAACAAAGAAATATCAAGGCCTAAAGAGATATTCTAAATGTCATTCCTCACTAATAATTTAAGATATATGAATAATTAAGACATATGAATTTAAAAATGAAAATGTATTTATCTATCATTTTCTCAAAAAAAAAAAAGTAGAATTACTATACAACTCAGCAATTGCACTTCTTGGGAGTATACCCCAAAGAATGGAAAGCAGGGGCTTATACAGATCTATTTATACTCACGTTTGTAGCAGCATTATTCACAACAGTCAAAAGGTGGAAGCAGCCGAGTGTGCACTGATGAATGAATGAATAAACAAAGTGTGGTATATACATAGAACTGATTGTGCATATTAAATATGTGCAGTTCTTTGTATATCAATTATACTAAATAAAGATGTAAAATAAAAAAAATCCTTGAAGCATTCATTCATTAAAAGCAAAAAGCTGGACTGTAGACCTAGCCCCTGGGCTTGTCTGTCAATGGATCCTAGCACCAAATCTACAAATGTGCAGATCTCAGCACTGAGCCTGCACAACTGTGGGTGCCAGCACTGGACCTACCGACCCATGGACCCCAGCACCATGCCCACTCACCTGCAGACCCAGCGAGCGGGTTTATCCATTAGCCCATACTCTCAGTGGTTTCTACCAGCTGGCCTGCCCAGAATTTCCAGCTGGACTGATTGGTGAGGGACTTTCCTTGCTTTTTCCCTTTTACTAAAAGATACAGAGTGGCTGTATGGATATAAAAACATAAGACCCAAATATGTGCCGTCTCTAAGAGACTCACTTTATTTTTTTAATTTTAATTTTTTTTAAAGATGTTATTTATTTGAGAGGGAGAGAGAGCAAGAGAGAGTGAGCATGAGCCCAAAGTTAGGGGCAGAGGGAAAGGGAGAGGCAGACTCCCTGCTGAACAGGGAGCCTGAAGCAGGGCTTGATCCCAGGACCCTGAGATCATGACCTGAGCTGAATGTAGACACTAATTGACTGAGCCACCCAGGCACCCAAGAGACTCGCTTTAGATTTAAAAACACACATAAGCTGAAAGTGAAGGGATGAGAAAGGATATTCCATGCATATGATAACCATATGAAATAGAAGTGGCTATATTTATATCACTCAGAAAGAGCCACAGCAAACAAAGAGGATCATCATATATGGATAAAATGGTCAATTCAAGAGGAAGATATGGTCATTATAAACATACATACACCAAACATGGGAACACCAAAATATATAAGGCGAACACTTACAAATCTGAAGGGAGACATAGCAATACAGTAAGAGTGGAAAGCCTCAACAATCCACTTATTTTTTTTCATTCATTCATTCATTCATTCATTCGTTTATTATCACTGAAATTTAAGGATAGTTTAACAAATACACATCAATCAACATGAAACACCACATTAACAGAACAAAGGATAAATGAAAAGGAGATGTAGACTCCATGATATCTTAATAGGTTTAGAAAGGCATTTGACCAAATTCAACACCCTTTATGATAAAAAACTCAACAGATTAGGTATAGAAGGAACTTACCTCAACACAATAAAGGCCATAGATGCCAACCCCACAGCTAACATCATACTTAATGACATGAAACTGAAACTTTTCCTCTAAGGTAAGGATGCCCATTCTCACCACTTCTATTTAAAACAGTACTGGAAGTCCTAGCCAGAGCAGTTAGACAAGAAAAAGAAATACAAAACATCTGAAGTGGAAGAGAAGGAGTAAAATGATCTCTGTTTGTAGATGAAAAGATAGTAGATGTAGAAAATCCTAAGGATTCCACCAAAACTGTTTGAAATAATAATCCACGTGGTAAAGTTGCAGGATACGTAATCAACATACAAAAATCAGATGCATTTCTACATACCCATGAGCTATCCAAAGAGGAAATTTTAAAAAAGTCCATTTACTATGGCATCAAAAAGAATAAAATTCTCAGGAATAAATTTAACCAAGGAGATGAAAGATCTGCATACTGAAAACCATGACACTAATAAAAGAAATTTAAACAGGCACAAATAATTGAAAAGACATCTCATGTTCATGGATTAGAAGAATTAATATTATTAAAATGTCCATACTACTCAAAGTAACTGATTCAGTGAAATCCATATCAAAATCTCAATGGTATTTTTCTTACAGAAATAGAGAAAAGAATCCCAAAATTCTATATGGAATCCAAAGGACTCCAAATAGCAATTATTTTTTTCACTTTCAAAATGCATCATTTTATTTTCCTCGTAAGGCATTATAAACTTTAAGCACATGACAGTCACGTGATTTCTTCAGTAAGCCCTAGGACTTCCATGAGTGTTCCTGGAGCTTACAGCCAGAGTAGTCAAATATTAAAACTTTTTCCACAGCCACACGTTCCTTTGATGTTTGTTATTGAAAACAAACTCACTGGATAATTTATCTTCAACATAGTCCATTTCTGTTCCTAAAAGTGTTAGCTGTGCTTTCTTTTTGATGAACCCTCTGACTCCATCTTGAACAACTTCTTCATCAGAATCTCCTTTTGTCTTTGTATATTCTAGAGTGTAAGAAAGGCCATTATGACCCCTGGTTCGGACACCAGCTTTCAGACCTCCCTGTTCAGGCTTATCTTTAAGAAGCTGTTTTATCTTGTTTATTGCTGAAGATGTCAGGGTGAGGGCGGCCGGCGTGGGCTGCAGCTTCCTCTTACTCACAGCCCCGACAGTGGCCCGGACTAAAGAAGCCGACATTCTTGCCCTCTGGGAGACCTGGTGCCTCAGGCCGGAGCTCGGCCACTTCACCCTCTCTCCATGGACACGGTGGCCGCATTGACCCCAAATAGCAATTTTGAGCAAGAAGCACAAAGCTGGAGACATTATTCTTCAAAGTATATTACAGAGCTACAGTATTCAGTACAGTATGGTACTGGCATAAACACAGACACATAGACCAATGGAGCAAAACAGAGAGCCTAGAAAGAAACCCATACATATACAGTCAACTGATCTTTGACAAAAGTGTCAGTAATATACAGTGGGGGAAGGATAGTATTTTCAATAAATACTGTGTTGGGAAGACTGGATATCCACATATAAAAGAATGAAATTGGACCTTCATCATATGCCATACATAAAAATTAATACAAAATGGATTAAAGACCTAGAGGTAATATCTGAAACTCTACGACTCCTAAAAGAAAACAGGTAAATCCTTTTTGACTTTATTCAGTAATGATTTCTTGGATATGACACCAAGAATACAGGTAAAAAAATCTAAAAATAAACAAGGGGGACTACATCAAACTGAAAAGCACACAGCAAAGAGAAAACAATTAACCAAATGAAAAGTGACCTATGGAATGGGATAAAATAAACCACATACCGATCAAGGCCTAATATCCAAAATATATAAGGAACTAATATAACTCAATAGAAAGAAACCCCACATAATCCAATTAAAACATAGCAAAGAAACTGAACAGACATTTCTCCAAAGAAGACATACAAATGGTGAACAGTTTTATGAAAAAAGTGCTCAACATCATTAATCATCAGGGAAAGGCATATCAAAACCACAATACTACCTCATACCTATTAAAATGGTTATTAAAAAAAGGTAAGGCAGAACAAACGCTGGTGAGGATTTGGAGAAAAGGGAAAACAGAATGGAAGTTCCTCAAAAAATTAAAACTAGAACCCCTGTATAATCCAGCAAATCCCACTTCTAGATATTTATTCAGAAGAATTGAAATCAGGATCGCGAAGAGATCTCCGCACTTGCGTATTTGCTGCAGTGCTATTCATAGTAGCCAGGATTTGGAAGAAGCTACATGTCCATTAGGGATGACTAGATAAAGAAAATATGGTATATACATACAGTGGAATATTTGTCAAGCACAAAAAGAAGGAAATCTTGCCATTTGCAATGATATGGATGAATGAGGAAGATATCATGTTAAGTGAAACAAACCATGCCCGCAAGGAAAAAATGCTACATGATACCACTTAATACAAGGAATCTGACTTAGTCATACTCATAGAAGCAGAGAAGGGAGTAGTGGTTGTCAGGGGCTGGGAGAGGTGGAAATGGGGAAGTATTAGTCAAAGGGTAGGAAGTCTCTGTTATACAAGATGAGTAAGTCCTAGAGATCTACAGTATACCACAGTCCCTATAATTAACAATAGTGTATTATATTCTTTTTTTTTTTTGAAGATTTTATTTATTGATTTGACAGAGAGAGATCACAAGCAGGCAGAGAGAGAGAGAGAGAGAGAGAGGGAAGCAGGTTCCCTGCTGAGCAGAGAGCCCGATGCGGGACTCGATCCCAGGACCCTGAGATCATGACCTGAGCTGAAGGCAGCGGCTTAACCCACTGAGCCACCCAGGCGCCCCAGTGTATTATATTCTTAAACATTTGCCAAGAGGACAGTTCTTATGTTAAGCATTACTTTCACAAAAAATAATAAAATAACTGAAGAGTGTGGGAGTTAAATAAGCCACAATTGCAGCTATTAGATTGTGAAAGGTTAAAAAGTTTGTGAGTTTGCTTTTTAATGTAGAAAATTGTGGATATGTACACTGAGTTATGTATAGAATTGTTGAATCATTGTATTAGGCACCTGAAACTAACACTGTATGTTAACTATACCTCAATAAAAAAAGAAAAAAGAAAATTGTGAAATCTTTTTCAGCTTTTTTTGTTATGTTTTCTGTCTAGCTGAGTCCAAGGGTATGACTGACCTAAAAAAAAAAAAAAGACAATCAATTAATGAAGTTGTATTTATAGATTTAAGAATATGGGCCCTGTAGTCATGCTAGATAGGATCAAATATATGTTTTGCCGCTAAATCATTGTGTGACTTTTGGGAAGTTACTGAACTTCTCTGAGCCTCCGTTTTCTTACTCATAATATGTGGATAATACCAGTATTTCCTCTATAAGGGGTTGATTATATCAAGGGAGATAATACTGATAAAAAGTTTTAGCACAAAACCTGGCATATTTTAAGACTCAATATATATTGTCAATAGGATAGTAATAGCAGAAGTTATTATATATTTATAATACGGGATATATGGTTAATCCTACTCACTTCAGTTCTCTCTGATGTACCTTCAGATATCCATGATACTAAATAAAAAATCTCTTGGCAATGTTATATTTCAAAAATTCAGTATTCAGTGCTGGCATGAGGCTTGCTTATCAGATGACCTATGAATCTACGTGTGTATATGTATGTGCATGTGGTTATTTTGCAGTAGCTTTTGTGTTTGTGTTAAGTGTCCAGCACCACCACTCATGAATGATGAAGGACAGGTCATCTCCCATTCGGGACTCTCCCTCCCAGGTCTCTGTTACCTTCTCAGTTTTTCTCTTTCAATATTCATTCTGTTCTTCTCACACTGTCTGATTTGGTCTTTTGGTTCCAATAACATAAAATACTTCTGTTTTTATTTTACTTTAAAAATAAAATTTACTCCAGGGGCGCCTGGGTGGCTCAGTGGGTTAAGCCTCTGCCTTCGGCTCAGATCATGATCTCAGGGTCCTGGGATCGAGCCCCGCATTGGGCTCTCTGCTCTGTAGGGAGCCTGCTTCCTCCTCTCTCTCTCTACCTGCCTGTCTGCCTACATGTGATCTCTGTCTGTCAAATCAATAAATAAAATCTTCAAAAAAATTAAAAAAAATAAAATTTACTCCAAACCCATCTCCTGGAGACATTAATTATAGATATTTTGCTGTGTATTCTTCCAAAATATTTCGTGTGTGTGTGCGCGCATGTGCATAGTAATTTTGTGGGAAGGGGAAATGACATCTTCTTTTTTCTCTTCTGTTGTTAATTGTATTTTTTCCTGACCTCTGCTATAACATTACTACATTTCTTTTAAAAAGAGAACAACCTAAATATCCTTGAATATGATAGATAAAGAATGGTACATTTCTGCTATAGAATGCAAAGCCACCATTAAAATTATTTATATGGTTATTTAAAAGTAGAGGAAAACTTCCTCAGTGTCACTTAGTGAAAGAAATCTACATAAAATTATGTAACCAGAATAAACTGTTTCTCTTTGTTAAAAAGATATTTAACTAAAGATGTATTTATTATTATATATCATTACATAGATAAAGAACCAAACAGATGTAGAAGCAGACAAACGGAGGAGCAATTCTGGCCAGCCTTCTAAGAAGGGAAACACTAACTATTGTCATCAGAGAAAAAAACAGGGAGTGTTTTACATAAGGAAGGGGCAGAATGTCAAATGCCACTAAGCTGTCAAATAAAATGAAGGTAAAGATTAATCCAGTGGTTCTGACAACAAGATGATAAGGCAAGTTTGACTTTTTAAAATTAACCTATTTACATTATTTACATAATCCTTACTCTGCTTAAAATTGACAGTCAGCCATCTCCTGAGAACTAGGGAACACATTTCTTCTCCTGAGTTGGAAGACTTTTCATGATACAGAGCCAAAGATTCCTGAGACATAGCTTCAAATAAGTACAACATGTTTATCAATTAACTCTACAATGGGGAAATCTGGCAGGCGTCAGGTACAAGTTCACATCTCCCACTAAGGGGCTCCCATTACGAGCCTCCTGATCTGATGCACTGAAAAGAACATGGCATCACCCCTGTGGGATTCCTGGTAAAAAATGCAAAAACCATTTGGAACAGTAGAAAAACTTAACACAAAGACCTTCTAGAATTAATTAGCTTGTACTCTTAAAAATGTGTAGGTTGTGAAAGACAAGGAAAGATGAAGGAATTTTTACACGTTGGATGAGACCAAAGAGACATGACATATAAATGCAATACATGATCCTAGTTTGCATACGGGGCTTCTAAATGATATTGTTGTGATTATTTATAAATCTTGAATAGGTACACATAAATATTTTCTGATATAAAGAGAAAATAAAAGAAACCCCCAGCAGCAAAACCCCTACCTGTTTTCTCTTTTAAAATTTTGCTTATCTTTCTCTGAAGACAGATCCTACGGATTCCACTACTGCAATACTGGGTGACTTTGGTTTACCTACCACCAACATGTAATTTGGGGAACCTGAGCTATTTTAAAAAGCTTTGACTATTATATAATCGAGTGAATTTGGATTTGGGGATGACATTTTTTTCTATTTGTACACTGGGAAGAGAAATTGTTTTTGAAAATGAAACAAGTCCATAAGAAAAAATTTATCAATAATGTGACCATGATTAACAATGACAATAGCTACTCTTTACTTGCTTAATATAAAAGTAGGCACTATACCAAGTACTTTGCATAAGTTATCTTATTTTGCTCTCAAAATTCTATTGGATATTATGTCCTCAGATTTATACAAAAATTATAAACTCAGAGCAGTGAAGTGATTAAATGATTTGTTCAAAATAATAGAACTATTACGGTGACAAAGTTGAAATTGACCCCTCCAGCTCTTTTTGATACATATGAATCAGGGAAGGCTGTGGAACAGACACCATATTCTGTTCCTTGAGAATCAGCATCACTCACTGAATGGTTCTCTGTGTCTCCTAATGTGTGCAAGCCATAGAAGTTCTGATGGTCGCCCAAAGAATGGCAATCTTTTCCTTCTATTAAACTTGTCTGGCTGCATTCACCCTTCCCTTTTCCATCATCTCTGCTTAAGTAATTTATGGAGATATTTCAGACTGGTTTCTATTACCAGGAAAGATTCTAATGACTCAGCTGCTTCTGGGTAGTAAGAAATACAGTGAGAACAAAAGGT